CATAATTCATGCATTATAACTTGAGTACATATCTGTAACCTATTTGATTGTATATGTGTATCTGCTTCTTTCTGCTTTCAATTTTCCTTTCACATATTGTTTGATCTAGCTTGTGAGATTGTTAGACAACACTTGGTATGTGTAGCATGTGAATGGTCAGATTCTGCCATGTGTTTTTTTTATCTTAGTCATCCCCATGAGTTTGTGGTCTGTAGGAACGTGATGAATGCTAGTTTTTTCTTTACACACTATGGCATCAACCTACTAGTTTTTTCTTCATTTTTTTTCCCATAAATTAAAATTAGCAACTCATATATGATTCTATCCCAATTTTGTCTTGTTTATGATTCTCCTGTTTTTTTTTATTATTCTAGTCATCCCCATGATTTTGTGCTCTATAGGACCATCTTGAATGCTAGAATTTTCTTTAAGCTATTGAATCTACCTACTGCTTTTCCTTCATATTTTTTTTCCATACATTGAAATTAGCAATTCATATATGATTCTTTCCTAGTTTTATAAATCAGGATTCTACTTGTTTGAGTTGCTCCTTTTTTTCTTTGTGTTCACATATCAGGTGTTAATATGCAAACAGATAGGTCTTGGATTAGGGATGGAAACAGATTGTCTCCAGAATATATAAAGGGGGTCAATGATTTCATACATTGTGCTATACTTAGTTCTGCAAATCGTAGGTCAATTAGATGTCCATGCAAAACTTGTTGCAATATGGACTTTCAATCCCCTGAAAAAATTAAAGTCCATTTATTCAAAGTGGGCTTTCTGGAAACATATCTTGTTTGGACTAAGCATGGGGAGGTCGACAAAAGTCCAACACCTAGCACTTCTCATTCACAATTTCATGACCACAACCAAATTGAGGACATGTTAGGGGACATTTATGATCAGTTAGGCAATAACCCTAAGAGTTTTAGGGATGTGATTGAAGATGCTGAGAAACCACTTTACCCAGGTTCAAGTTATTCAAAGTTGTCTGGGGTGATGTTATTATTTAACATCAAGGGGAAATATGGGTGGTCTGATCAAAGTTTTACTTCATTATTAGAAGCACTTTCAGACATATTGCCTTCTGATAATTCCATTCCCAAGTCAATGTATGAGGCTAAGAAAATAATGAAGGTTCTAGGATTAGATTACCAAAAAATACATGCTTGTCGGAACGATTGCATCCTCTTTCATAAACAACACAGCGATCTTGATAAATGTCCTACGTGTGGGGAGAGTAGGTTTAAGGAAAAAAAGAATGGAGCTATAAATCTTAGCCATAGAATTCCTGCGAAAGTGTTATGGTATTTTCCTCCTATTCCGCGGTTCAAACGCATGTTCCAATCAACCAACACAGCTGAAAACATGAGTTGGCATGCAATCGGCCGAGTAAGAGATGGTAAATTACGCCATCCAGCTGACTGTGCAGCTTGGCAACACGTAGATAAAACATGGCCAGACTTTAGTCAAGAGTCTAGGAATCTCAGATTGGCTTTGTCAAGTGACGGAGTCAATCCACACAGCTCACTTAGTTCTACATATAGTTGTTGGCCAGTTCAGTTAGTCATTTATAATCTTCCGCCTTGGTTGACCATGAAAAGAAAATTCATGATGTTATCTCTATTAATATCTGGTCCCAAACAACCCGGAAATGATATAGATGTCTACCTAGAACCACTGATCGATGACCTTAAAATTCTTTGGAACGAGGGTGTAGATGTTTACGATGCGTTTAAGAAGGAGATGTTCAAAATGAGGGCGATACTTATGTGGACTATTAGTGACTTTCCGGCATATGGTAACTTATCCGGGTGTACTTACAAAGGCTATTATGCATGTCCCATTTGTGGCCCAAAAACTCGTTCTACATGGCTGAAATTCAGTAAGAAGTGTGTGTATATGGACCATCGTCGTTTCTTACCTCATGACCATAAGTTTCGAGACTTGAAGAAGGTTTTCAACAACAAAGTAGAGAGAGAGGGACCCCCTGAAACCTTTTCAGCTCAAGATGTCCTCAAAGAGGTTGAATCAATAAACTACAAACCTGGTAAACGCAAGGAAAAGAAACGGAAACGAAAGCGTGGCAGCAAAGACCATGACCCGACAAGGTTATTTAAGCGCAAGTCAATATTCTTTGATTTGGAGTATTGGCAACATTTGCTAATTCGTCACTTACTAGATGTAATGCACATCGAGAAGAATGTGTGTGAGAACTTTTATGGCACATTGCTCGATCAACCAACAAAGACCAAAGATGGTCCAAAAGCTAGAAATGATCTTATTCATCTAAAGATAAGGAAAAGTTTGATTCCAGAAGGAAATTTTTTACCCCCTGCACCATACACTCTTTCTAAGGAAGATAAGAAAAAATTTTGCCAAACCATTCTAGAGACCAAGGTGCCTGATGGTTATTCATCTAACCTCAAAAGTATTGTTTCTGATGATGATTATCGACTTCAAGGTCTTAAGTCTCATGATTGTCACACGCTAATGCAACAAATACTTCCTTTAGCAATCCGAAATCTTTCTTTGTCAGCAAATGTGACTCATGCCATCACTGGTGTATGTTTATTCTTTAATGCAATATGTGAGAAGGTATTGGATGTTGATTCACTTGACAAACTAGAGGCTGAGTATCGAGTAACATTGTGTTCCCTTGAGCAATATTTCATGCCTTCTTTTTTCGATATCATGCTTCATTTGACGGTCCATCTTGTGGCTCAAATCCGGCTATGTGGCCCACCGTACTTATGTTGGATGTACCCTTTCGAAAGAAGCATGAAACTGTTAAAGGGGCATGTCCGTAATCATTATTATCCCGAGGGATGCATTGCCGAGTGTTATGCAGCAGAGGAATCACTTGAGTTTTGTGCCGAATATCTCTCTAACCATAAACCAATTGGTCTACCTGGGCATGGTGATGATGATGTTCCAATTGAGAGGCCTCTAGGTAAAGGAGACACTAAGATTGTTGATCTCTCATTGCTAGAGCAAGCACATCGCACCGTCTTATTCAATACACCTGAAGTCCAGCCTTACATAGAGTAAGTCCTAAGCTAGATCAATTTTATCTTGTTTATAGTCTTTCTTGAAGTGAAGTATCTAATCGGTTGTCTAATATAAAATGCTAGGGATCATATGTTGCACCTGCAAGCACAAGATATTGGGTGTTGTGAAACAGAGCATTACCGTACTTTTACTAAGTGGTTTGAGGAGAAGGTTATTTACTTAAGATTTGTACTTACAAACTATAAGTCTGTGTGAATCAGATCTTTACTAAAATACTAACTATACTTATTTAGGTTAAAGTTGATGTTGCAAACGGTGTGATTGTTGACCAAACAGTGAAGTGGCTATCAAAGAAGCCCAACACAACTGTGACAGTTTACTCGGGCTACATTATAAATGGTTTTAGCTTTGCTACTAAGGCTCGAGACTCAAACCGTGTGACACAAAATAGCGGGGTTAGCCTTGTAGCAGACACCGTTCTAGTTTCTGGTTCCAAGGAGAGCTGTCCAGCCACACACCCCATGAATTACTATGGCGTTCTTGATGAAATTTGGGTTCTTCACTATCTTATGACTAAGAGGGTGATGTTTAAGTGTGATTGGGTAGATAGTAGGCATGTGAAACAAGATAACTTGGGTTTCACAGTTGTAGATCTAAAAAAAATTGGTCACAAAAAAGATTGTTTCATTTTAGCTGCTCATGCAAAACAAGTGTTTTATGTAAAAGATCAACGTGATCAGAAAAGTTCAATTGTGTGTTCAGTTGGTCAAAGACTCAACAAAGGTATAGATTTTGGATCTGATGAACTAGTAATTCATGAACCGCTAACATCAAAATACCCTATGCATGTTATTGATACCCAAAACCCAGATGATGATCAGATCTATAATAGAATAGACTTGGATGCAACCCCTATTAATAACTAGTCAAAGCTGGACATATCTCTTATGTGTTTTGGTAAGTAATTATATACTACGTTAATTTTTGTTTGAATAATATTTTACAGTTAAGTTGTTGATCATTAAAATTTCTTGTGTTTTAACATTAACATTACATTTATTTGATTTTTTTTAGAATACACGAAAGCTATGTCAAAAGGTGAAGAAGTTATGGATGACTTTTATGAAGAGGATGACATGGATGAGTTTGTTGAGAGACCACAGAGGCGGCAGAAGACAAAAAAGAAACTTTTACTTCGAAAGGCGGCTGATGATAAAGTGGAAGTGGAAGTAAATGAATTCGGTGTTCATTGTGGTGATGGATGGACTAACCTAGCTAATTATATTGGGGTTGTGGTGAGGGATACTGTGTGCATACTTCATGATGACTGGAGATACGTACCACCTGAAGTTAAGGAAGAGATGTGGCAGCATCTTCTTGTAAGAAATAAGTAAATTGTATTTGATACTCTTCCAGTTAACTTATTACTTTTGTTCTCTACTCACTAATATTTCTTATTATTTTGAACTACAGAAAATGTTTGTGTTGACCCCTAGGTCTCAAAAACAAGTCTTTGGAACAATGAGTGCTGCTTTAAGAAATTTCAGGTCTACTTTGCGCAACGAATTTATCTTACACTACAAGCCAGGTTCCAAGGCTTTGCGGTTTCCTCCTAAAGAGTTCAAGCACATAGGAACTGATGAATGGAGACTCTTTGTTAAAAAGACTTTCAAAGAAGAATTTAAGGTCAGTTATATATGAATTTAATTTAAAAATCTGTGCACTTTAATATCTTTGTAAAATATTAAACTGAATCTTTTGACGTATGATTAAAACATGCAGGCTAAAAGTGAACAAGCGAAGGAGAGAAGGAAAAAGAACAAGTACAATCATCGATTGGGGTCAAGTGGTTATGCAGGGCTGTTGAAGAGGAAGGTTTATTCTCTTACATCTTTAATGATTCATTAATTTCACAACCAGAATTACTCTAAATATTTGTTTGGTCTAATTTGTTAGCAAAAAGAGCTTGGAGGTATGTTGAAGGATATTGATCGTGCAGATACATGGCTTTTAGGAAGAAAGAAAAAAAATGGAGAATATGATGACGACGTGAAAGAAATCGCTGAAAAAATTGTATGTATCATACACTAGCTTTTATTCGAAGGATATAAATATTAACTACATGAAGCAGTTCTGTTTTACTAAATTGATTTACCTACTGTAATGACTAATGAATTAACTATCTAGTATTTAGTGTGAGTACATGATACTATCAAAGTTAACTTATATTCTGTAGATAGTTAAATACAATATAGTTGATGTGCGAAGTTAAGTTAAAGTTAACTTCAAGTATCATTAGCATTACCGATTTAACTTAAAGTTTTATTTAAAAAAATCAATGATAAATTAAAGTACCTGAAGTATCATTAGCAGATTAAACTGTTTTATCAATGATTTTTTGTAGAAGGAGCTGAAGCAGATGGTAGAAGAAGGGTTGTTTGTTCCCAATGGTTGTGCTGACATACTCACAGCTGCCCTAGATAAAAGGCCAAATGGAAGTAGAGTACAAGGAGTAGGTCACTTCATCACTACATCTACGTACTTTAACAAGCCTATGGGTAAGGCTTCAGAGAAGCAAGAAGCGGAGAAAATTTGTGATAGAAGATATGCGATGATGGCACAACGGTTCGATGAGTTGAAAGCACAAATCAGTGCCTTTGTTGCTAGTGATATTGGCAGCTGTAGTATTGCCACCAAGTCTCCAACTTGTGAAACTGGAAAGCAACAGGTTTATACTACTCATTTCTATAAAGGGAGAAATAGATATATAACCTTTTAAATTACCATACTTATTTAGTAGTGAACATTTATATTTTATAAAACTGGCTTAAAAGTTATGACGAGTGAATGTCAAAATATCTCACTTTAACACCTGGAAGAGACTGCTAGTAACCTTGATAACTCAACCTCATGTTTGCTAGCTAGACTTATCTCTTCTATTGTAATCGAGAGAGTATAAATCTAGTTAGGCTTTGGTTATGGCATGCAAGCTACTGACATCCTCTTGTCCCATTAGTCTTGTCCCATATTATTACTTTATATATATATACACACACTTTTAAATATCCCGTACGTGTATAACAATGTTATGACAGAGTTAACAATGAACGCAATTCTGAGATTGTCTGTAATATTTACTTTATAATTGATTGATGCATCTGAAGGCTTGAAAAGTTTACTATTTAATTGATCGATGCATCTGAAGACTTGAAAAGTGGGTTTACTATAGGGGTTGACAATTGACATGGATCTGGACTGATAACAATTAGTTTTAAAGCTAAATGTTAAATTGTCAGGTGGATTCATAACCTGATAACCGCCACCAACATCTGATTAGTCCCCCTTTGTTCAATTTCTTTATAGGCTTTTAGGGTCAATTTAGGTTTCTGGTTACAATTTTCCAACCTAGAAAGTCCAATAAAATGTTTGGCATGGAATTGCCCGTTCTAATGTTTGTACGTCCTTTAAAAGGTTAGTAGCGATAATTTAGGCTTTTAGTTTCAATCGGTGGTCAAGAAAAAGCTGTTCATTTTATTTTTTATGATACACAACATTAACTTAAAGGTAGGTATTGTAACATGTATATATATTACCAATTTTATCTTATCTAAATTGCAGGGCCTTTATAACTTATAAGTTACTTAAATTATATTGAATGTATATTTATTGCAGGTTCTTGAGGAGGTTGAGAAGCCAACGATTACCCCTAAGAAAACATTCACGGCATCTATTCCTAGAAGATCTCCCAGGCACACCTCTACCACATCTAAGGGGATTCAACCTAAGCCACCAATAGATGAAGATGAAGAACGTCCAAAGAGACGATATGTAAAAAGAAAGGTAACATTAAAAACATCTAAGAATATCAAATGATAATATTAACTATTAAAATCTTAAATTTGTATGGCAGGTCGAAGAACTTGGAGAAAGGACCGTAGAGGGAGATTTTGCAGGACAACCTTGGTTTCAAACTGAAGAGGAAGAAGAACAATGTCCAAAAATTGTAAAGGTTGAAATGCCGAGTCCAAAAAAGAGTGAACAGAGCAAATACTTTCCACGGAGATCCCCCCGCCACCTCCCACAGAAGACAAAACCAGTTTGCTGTGTTGTTCCATTACAGGATAAGGGTATAGATTTGGAGAAGGGTGATGTACAGGTTGTGGAAGTACGTAGTAGGCCTGAAATGAAGAAAAAGGTCGCACCAGCTTCCAGAAAACTGAATATGCAACGGACCACGAGGTCATTGGTGGATAAAAGAAAAGAAAAAAGCATTAACATGAACATGTTCTCCTTCCTAGTTGACAAATGCATGGGTGACGGGTATACGATCCAGAATGATGCAGATGTGTTTGGGTTCCCTACCAAAACTACCTTTAACAAGGACATGTGCAACTTAGTCATCAACTGTCAGAAGGTTGCGAACTCAATCATAGAACTTTGGTGCAAGTAAGCGTCTAGATTTTTTTTTTGTTTAGATTCTTTTTGAAGTTAAAATTTTACCCCATATAATCATTACTATATGTAGGTCCCTTCATGAAAAAATGGTGGACAACGGAGGAGAAATGCCTGTACAGTTCGGGACATCTGTGGCTATACACCGTCCTAAAAAAGCGTCTGAGGAGTCGATGAATAGAAGGTCCCATTACGTGGCAGACCTTCTTGGAGTTGGGTTACCTGGACAAATTACACTACTACCGTATAATGCAGGGTATTATTTGAAATAATGCCTTTTGTTAATGTTATTTCTATATAATGGTTAATTGTCAAGGATTTTTCTCACACAGGGACCATTGGGTGTTGGTTGCCATTGATGTGGAGATGGGAAGAATGTATTACTTGGATTCCATCGGAGGAATTCCACCAGAAGATTTGAAGATAATCGTCACTCAGTTAAGCCATAATCCGCCTAAAAAGCACAATTTTCTTTGTTTTCTTGAGTATTGTGAATGCCTAATATATTGCCTTTCTTAACTAATTGTGTACTTGACTGTTTGTTCTCAGAGGAGTGCAAATGTATCATGCTCTGAAGTCAAAAGACAGATTGAAATTGAACTGGATCACAGTCAAGGTATATATCCATTTCAATTAATGGTTGTATTTTCCCAATACATTCTTTATAAAACTTTTAAAGTAACAAATTTAAATGTGTGTAGTGTCCGAAGCAAAGAGGATCATTGGAGTGTGGGTACTTCGTAATGAAGTACATCAAAGAAATTATCGGTGATGTTGATGTGCTGAAAAATAATGTGAGTCAAATTAATCATTTAATCATGTTCATTAGTACACTGGTAGTGTGTTTTTGTTTGTTGACATTTCAATGAAGTGCCGCAGAACATTTCATTTGACTTTAGTAATGCTTAGTATGGATTGTATGGTATTGGTGTATTACTGATGCATAGGCGTTCAGAGATTTAAATTCTGGGTGTTGCTGTGTTATTAATATTGGGCAGTAAGTTTAGTTTGATTAGCATAGTTTGGACATGTTTAACTTTTCTAAGACAATGCATTATGTTTGTTAATGATTTGAAGTACAAACGAGGTTTAAGTACACTGATCTGTGTTTGTATGTTGACATTCAATGAACTGTTGTAGAACCTTTTATTTCACTTTAGTAATGATTGGTATGGAGTGTATGGTGTTGGTGTATTACTGATTCATAGGCGTCGTCCAAAGATTTCAATTTTAGGTGTTGGTGTATTATTAATGTTAGGTAGTAAGTTTAGTTTGACTAGTATAGTTTGGGCATGTTTAACTTTTCTAAGACAATGCATTATGTTTGTTAATGATCTGAAATACAATTAAGGTTAAGTTAGATGAAAGAAGACATGAGAATAATTTTTTTTTTTTGCAAACCAGTTGGGTAATAAATTGCTTTTGCAAATCAGTTGGGTAACAATTAAGGTAAATTGCTTTTATTTACCTTTGAGGGGAGAGTTTGTAGTTTTGTAGCCCTCAATTCTTTTGTTTCGGTCCTTTAAGGACACCTCATTGAGATGCTTGAGTGGTACTCAAAATGGTTTTAGTGCTTCAGTTTGTTTATGCTTAATTATTGGTTTTGGTAGTCTTTTGTGAAGGAAATATAAAGTTTGTATTTTGGTGTTGTTTTAGTTCTCCACAGTCAATGAGTACTCTGAAGATGACATTCTGCAAGTGCGTGAGGAATGGATCTCATATGCAGCAAACCTAATCAAAGAGTAAGTTAAATTTGTACTCCTTGAAATAAGTGTGTTAAAAATGTAATTTTCAACAATTAGGATTGATACTAATATGATTGTTATCATTGTTTTTACAGACTTCAGCAGTGACGAATGTGATGAATGGTGGCAGTTGGACTTTTGCGTAATATGGCTGTTAAACAAATGTGCAAAGCATAATTTTTTGATGTTGCGGAATATACTTTATGTTTTTCCAGAATGTATGTAAAATACTACTTTGTGTTTGCAGCCTTATGTAGACTGGAGTTTTAGAATATTGGTATTTTGGAATTTGCTTTGAAGAACAAGTTAAATGTCTTTGAATTTTCATGTTGACTTTGATATCAATCTAAATGTCAGTTATGGAATACATTGAGACATTGAGTAGTTATGAATTTGATTTTAGTTTGATAAGCTTGAATATTATAATTTTAGGTGGATATGATGGTTTCAAATATGATTTTGAACCCTAGCTTATAAAACTTGTTCAACACATGATACTGTATAAAAAAAAAATGATAGCAGCGTGTCATTATTATTTAAAACACCAAAGTGTCACAGAATCTTGATCGCGCAAAAATATCAGTAACGTTTGTAATACTAGAGTATCACTAATCCATATGACGTAAATGTATCATTAAATATGTCAACAGAAATGTATCGTTAAATCTTGTGATACCGTAGTGTCATCATTTACTGACACTTTTTCCGTGACACTAATTTTAGTGTCGCAACTCCCACCATTCGTTGACACTTTTTAAGTGTCACTAAAAATTTTAGTGACACTAATTTAGTGTCACTGTAGACCATTTTTCTAGTAGTGCTTGTTCACTTAGTGCTCAATAAAAGAATGTCTCTGCAAATCCCTTCTACATGTTATTGTTGTAAGCAAGAGAACAAAAAAAACATGTCTTTGTTAGTTGTGATAATTCTGAACATGTGTGTAATTATTTCAGTATTAAAATATGGTATTTAGATAACTGATACTAATTATTTAGCTTCAAAGAAGTACGAAGTATTATATTATCCAATATTTTCCTTTGATAGGATATTGGTTTATCTAATACGATAGTATTTCAGAAACAAAGATTTTTTTATTAGGGTGGTATAGTCCATGATTACACGATCTCATTACTTTTGCCTAACCAAATCAACCAGAGAAGCTCCCTGTAAATATTATTGTGTGGTGCTCACAAAAGCACATTTCTATAAACAGTTAGGGTCTTCCAGAGCGGGTCAGAGAAGCTACCATATATAAGCAAAAACATAATTTCCTTAGCTTATTTCTGGAGCTTCATCTGTTATTTAATTTTTTCTAAATGAAAGCAACTAATTAAATAATGACAAGTTTCACAAACACAAGAGATTAAAAAAAACATTCTGCGTAATTATTAATGCCAGAGGTTAACTTTTACTACATTGATCTTGGGTATTTACACGAACGCGCATCGCGCGTTACTAAACTAGTATATTAAGAAATGTCAATTTGACGAAGACGGATGAAGGATATAAATTAAAACACAGGAAGCATATGCTGCACGTTGGTCACATCCATCTAGACATCATCAAGCCAGAGAAATAATACGTAGTACTACACAATGTTCAAGATCGATTTGATGCAATCCCGTGGAGGAAAGTCATGGGATGATGGTGGTTGTGGTGAAGTTGCCGGCATCCTCATTTCCTATTCTGCCTCCTCCATTAACTCTCTGCGTTTCCTCTGTTCCAAGGACGGCGCGTTGAAGTTTTCGGAAGATCATGGCACACTTAGTGACAGCACACAGATGGTGAGTCAGTTCAGTTTTACACACTTCCCCAAAATGTCCTAAAATCTGTTTTTTCTAAACTCCAGTCCAACGGGAAATTCAACTCCTTATTATACGAATACTTAAAAAGTACGTAGTTTTGTCAATACAACAATTAAAAAACGTGTATTCGGAGTAAGAATATATACTAACAATCGCAATCGGTAGTTATTGTTTTCTATACGGCTTTGTTAGGCTGTCCAACGGGAATACTTTTTAAGAGTACGAATAGAGGAAGTCTTTGTTAGTATATATGTACTTAGGAAATCTGTTTTTTCTAAACTCCGTATATATTCCAACTGTAGGGTAGTTATTGTTTTCTATGCAGAATTTCCCAAAATTACGTACGTTTTCTCTAAAACAATACGGAGCAATAACTACTCCTTATTATTTTTGGGAATTCTGTATATATGTACTTCCTATATATATATATTAATGTATGGATGACTGGATGTTTCATACTCCCTCCGTTCCCAAAAATTCTTCCCGGTTTGAATTGGCACGCCTATTAAGAAAGTGGAATAAAGTGGAAATGTGTGGTTGTGGTTGTGTGAGAAAAAGGTGAAATGAATGTGAGCCACACAAATTGTCCAAAAAGGGAAAGTGGGAAGAATTTTTGGGAACGGCCCAAAAAGGAAAGTGGGAAGTATTTTTGGGAACGGAGGGAGTAATATGGTAGTTTCCTTTAAAGATGGCAGCCATGCATTTTCTCTTATTAAAAAAAAACAAAAGAAAAAGATAATACAGTACACATATTACATATTAGGAAAAAATACAACAGTTTTGAAGTTCTCGTGCAAAAGCACTGGACTTTGGTTTAGAATATGAAAATACGGCATTTGGAAGGCCCTGTTCAGAGGATACTTTGTAAAAAGTAAAATATCATTTTAGTTGGGAAAAAGGGTCAAATAGACCCCTGTACAATTGCAGAACAGTCACTTAGACCCCTGTACTATTAAAAGCATCACATAAGTTCATGTACTATCAAAAAAGAATCAATTAGGTCCAAATAGCTAAGGGTAACCCATGATAGCAGGTCATCCTTTCCATTCTCTTTCCTATTTATTTTAAATTTTTCTTTCTCTTTTAAAGTAGACCACGTGTGCAATTCAAATCTCCACCACCCAACTCGGGCATGAGCTCAGCCCTCCGGTCATCTTCCCCGGCAGCAAGTCAGCAAGATGACTTCCCTTTATCATCACTCTACCCCCATCTTCCCCTTTCCCCACCTCTGTAACGTCATTCCCACCGTAGAGGCCACAACGCCATACCCACTGTGGAGGCCACAAATACAGTGGTTTGGGCCGGTTTATCGTCAGAGATGTAGTTCTTCCAGGAGCAAACCACTACCGGTTCCAACTTCCATCAACCAAGTAACATAATCCTTCCAGATCGATCTAAATCCCCCAACCCGTCTCCGGAACCAGAGCAAAGATATGGGGGTGAGCTTTTAACTCCGGCCACACACGTCGAACACCGGTGGCTGCCATCTCCGGACCACAAGCATTGGCCAAACAACGGGTCTGCAACGTGGCATAACTGCGAAGGTAGGGGCATTACTAATCTGCACCAGGGAGACTTGTGCTGCCACACGGAGACTCCTACCAACCGTGAAGACGTGAGAACCTACAGGGGATGAGCAGCGCGCGTCCACCCAACACTAGAGCCTTCGTCCGTTCTGGAAATCCGCAGCAGCGTGAGTCAGCGCCACCATCCACTGGTCCACTGCTAACAACATCCCCGGTCAACCGACGCCACGTCCGAAGACGAAGATGCTGCAGATGCCAGAGCTTTCGCCTTGACTATGAACGGCGACGGAAAGTTGAGACGAACATGATGGCCATCGTATGAAGGGTATGCCAGCAGTGACCAAACCGCCGGTCCCCATTTCAGATGCTTAATCTCCATTTTTTTCCCACTAATAAGGATGAACTAAGATTACAGACTCCCGGTAGCAACGGACAGAGATCTGCGAACAAATCCACCCTAGTGGACCACCAATTTCCAAGATTGGACACGTGGTCTACTTTAGAAGAGAAAGAAAAATTTAAAATAAATAGGAAAGAGAATGGAAAGGATGACCTGCTATCATGGGTTACCTTTAGCTATTTGGACCTAATTGATTCTTTTTTTTATAGTACATGAACTTATGTGATGCTTTTAATAGTACAGGGGTCTAAGTGACCGATTTGCAATTGTACAGGGGTCTATTTGACCCTTTTTCCTTTTAGTTGAAAGTTTATACGGGTGTAACTTTTTTATTTGTACTTTTACTTTTACAAAGCAAAAAATATAAGGAAATTAGCCTAAATATTAGTAAAAATGTTCTAAAATTTCAAAATAGGAATGTCATTTTATTTTTTTGAAATAGGAGAGGAGTAACTATTGCCATGTTTTGGCACGACCAAACTTGAAATATGGTAGTATATTCCAAACTTGACAGTATTAATCTTATTTAGAGAATAAAAACATGATAGTTCTATTGTAGAACTTTAAAACGTTTTTACCCCTATATATTCTGGAAATTAATCCAAAAATATATTAAAATTCTTGATTATAACCCTGCATTAATTAACTTTTTATGATTATTTTTCGTTTGGGGATATGTTGGGCGGAATGCAAGAGCTAATACGTACAGTATGTATATTCTAATTATAATGAAGCTACAGATCAGACTAGACTACCCAACCGAGGTCCTCACCGAGGTGCACGGCTTTCGGTGGTCCACTCACGTGTCTTGGGGTTATGGATTGTGTTCGATAACATTTGTGACGAACAAGGCCACATATGGACCCTTTGGGGTAAAGAGGTCGTCGCTCGACGACAGCGTATTCAAGTTCCAATTGGGCAGTGAAGCTGATTCCATTAATGGCTTTCACGGAACTGTCAACAGTCATGGTCGCATCGATAGCATTGGTGTTTATCTACAGACAACAACTGCCTGCCCCGATAATCTCATGTCTCGGAAGATTGTAAAATAATAAAATGTTATATTAACATTATCTGTCTCTAAAATTATCTTTTGCTTCATTCACATGTGCGGGTATGCATGCATTCTATATTACGATGTTGTTCGATATAATTAATTACAAACAAATTCCTCACATTATTCATAAATAAAGAGTTATGCGTGTTGCTTGTGATATTTATATAATAAGACGTGTTTTTCTAGAAGCCTCTGTTCTCTCTAAAACATTGTGCATGTTACCCCTTCCTATACTATCCACGTGAGTACGTGACCACGTCCATACAGGTATGAATATATCATTAATCCTCATCATTCCTATTTTTTAGTCATTCTTATTTTTATGTCATATACTCCCTCCATACTCTATTTAAGTTCCCACTTTCAATTACTTTTTCGGATGTCTCATACAAGTTCACACTTTCCTTATTTGACAAACAAATCTACACCAAACAGTGTCAAACAGTGTCCAAACAGTGCACTCCATAGTAAAGTCAAATTTATTTTCTTAATATGTGTGAAGTCAAACTTATAACTTATATAGGGTCCGGAGGTAGTATGTCTTTTATGTTTAATTTGGTCATATGCTACTGAAGAGAATATAAATATGGTAGATTTTATGGTATCCTTAAGATATCATACCTTTGTTTACATGGACTAATCAGAATGATGCAGTTGAATTATTTAAATCTAAATTAAAAATGATTTAATAATGTGGACCAATCGAGTAAATGGTAGGTACGGTACCCTATTTTTTAAATGGGTACCGGAGTTGTCGTGTATAAATATTTATATTTTGGGAAAACTGATTATCTTTAGTAACATAATAAAGTGGCATAGACGTATTTTTCCAAATACGAATTCGTTCGAAGTGTGTATTCGATCCATAGCATAGCTAACTAGGTTTCCTTTCCTTCTCCTTCATACAGGTATCAACTAGCGGCGCTGCATTATTAGAGCAAAAACAATGTTGAACTTCAAGTGCAAGCTCCTCCACGCTGATTTGGCATTCCAGCCCAATCTGTGACATATCATAACTATTGCAGTGTTAATACATAAACGTTTTTTTCCTCATTGAAATCTTACGATTAAATATAACGTAGGTAGCTAATTTACTAATAGATTTTGATTCCAGTATTTCTAATCAGAATCGTTACCGTCTAATTTATACTACGTACCGAACGTACGTATCATTTATACCTAATTAGCTAACCTTTTATTTATCAGATTTAAATATATCTAATCCTGACTTAATGCTTCTACTCTTATGTGATCATTAATTACGGAGTATTTTTTTTCCAACACACATTTTACTATGAAATCATACCGAGTATGACTTTTTTCATTACTCCATTTCTTCAAAAAAAAATTGGACACATATATACAGCGCATACATTAATTTTTTCAAAAATTAAAGAGGTTTAATTAAAGACCAATTAATATAGCAAAGTCAAATTACCCGTTATATTACTAAATTAAAGTCAAAGAATTGAGAATTGCTCTACAGTAATAGTAATAATAATACCTTAATAACAAAGGTGTAGAGCACAGTGTCATCGATGCTACTGATGTTCAATTGAAGGATCTCAAAGGAAAACGTCTCCAAGACATTGATTATTGTAAGGATTTGGCCCCGAACTCGACGAGAAATGGTCTTCAGAATAACATTAGAGCCCGATATCCTGGCCTCAACGTCGGCTACCGGAGAGTTGCAACATGCCCCGACCTCGTTGAATTCGCAACCACTGTTCGTATTTACATCCATCATGCAGTTGCTGGAAGATGATGTTTCGAGGTGCTGGGTAGGAGTAATGGGCTGCAATGGCGGCCGGTCCGGGCTTAAACTGTGTATCCTTCGTTTCTTGGCCTCCATTGATTGTTGAACTTGGTGCAATTCCTTGATGAACTCAATTACTCCCCCTACTATTGATGCTTGGTCTCCCTATCATAAACTTGGTAAAATCATTGACTGCACATAATTGTTTTTCATATTTTCGTGAAATTAAGGTTATAGAGTAAAATATATTTAATCGAATTGGTAAAATGGTGCAGTTACATTATATGGAGTGTTTGGACTGATTTTACTTTTGCTCCTTTTTTAATTAAAGCAAAAGCAGAATCCACACTTTTCAGAAGCTGGTGCCCCTTAGTTTTTAAAAAATTGATTCTGGGAATAAATTAGAGCATCAGATTGAATCATTTTTACACTTTCACCCAAACACTCTAACTTCTGCTTCCACTCTCTGAAGGAGCAGAAGCAGTTTTAAGAATCAGATCCAAACACCCCGTGAAACATTTTAAATGTATTAAAGTACCAATGTAATTTAATTTATTTTACTCAATGGTTGAGGTATCAAAATTCAATTCATTATCACTCTGTAACACTTAACCCTGTTGCAAGACGGATTCAATCGAACTAAACTGAGAGATGGTGTAATCGTCTAGGTACTATACATGACAAAGAAGTTTAAGAGTTTATTTGATAATACAAAAATTGACTGAATCGACTGATTTTACTGAAATTTATGAAGTTTTAGCTAAAGTGGCTGGATTAGCTAACTTTGCTAATTTATAAAGAAATTATATCTAAAATATATTTTAGATATAAAATAAAGAAAAAATAATTCTCTATAGTAATTCAGAGCGCGAAATTAAAAGTTACTTGTCATTGAAAAACATGACCGATATGTCTGATAAACCGGAAAATAGGGTCACCAAACCGCTCTAAAAGTTGGATGGAGCTCAGTTATAATGAGAAAACTCATCATACTTAAAGGATTATTAAACAAACATTATTAGGTGGAGTGGGTAATTATAACTTTATAAGTACGTACGTACCCTTTGGATGTAGGAAGAAGGGGTTAAGGAACGCAAAATGTTGAGCTGATCATTCATCTGTCGTCTCCGCTTTCTCTCCACACCAATGTGAGACATTTTTTATGTACGATAATTATGATTATAATTCCTTGTAAACGCATATACGTAAATTCATAACGTACAGAAGCCTATATATGGATGATGACGTACGTTTATATATAGAAAGACGTAATGGATATATAGTGAATGAAATGCATGAGCATCCCAAGTATAGTTAAATGATCTGATCCACTACTTACACGCTCACAACTTTATGCCCTTTCTTCATAAAATAAAATTAATACATACATGTAGTTAATTAATGAACTCACATGTAATGGCTGTTATAATGGGCGTAGGAGCTAAGTAAGCTAGGGCATGTCGCGAACTCCTGTCCAATCCAAATTTTGTAAAAAAATTAATCCTATGGGTACAAATTAAATTGAGTAAAGTAATACTCTATCCATATTTTATTCTTGTTCATTGTTACAATAGGGACTGACACAATATTTAAAGGGGAAAAATTTATGAATAGTGTAAAAGACTAAAAGAAGTAATAGAAAGTGAAAACGTACAAAGGAGAATATCAAACAGTCTAAAAGCTAGGCTACATAAGAATAATTAAGTACTTAAAAAAATGAAACTTATCAAAACGAGAAAGTATAATAAAATTAAAAGTACATTCCAAATAGAAAATTGTAACAAATGAAATAATTAGGAGTAGTTTCACTACAAAAAAAATGCCATTTACCAGCGGCAATTTGTACCAACAGGCAATTACCGTTGGTATAAGATAGCCATACCGACGGTAACCCGATGTCATTGGTTTTGCCATTATGTATATCCACGCCTTATGAACTTCGTTAGTATAGATTAGACAATTGCAATACTTAAATTAATACCGTTGGTATAATTACATGATATACCAACGGTTACCATTAGAATCGTAAGTATATGTTGGACAAGGCTGCAACCAAAAATTCTGACGGTTTTTTATAATTCACAAAATTAAAACTAAATCCTAAGTATAACATGTCCACTTAATTTCTACTCTCTTTTTTTAATTCTTCGTTCCCGCAATCAAGCAGCTGAGAACCAGAGCCCTAGTCACCGTCCGCCGTCCACCGTCATTCCTCGCTAAAGTCTAATCCTCTCCCTGATGCAGACTCACCAAGACTCGCCAGATTAAGAAGACATCAATCGGTATGTTTTTCCTTTTTCAATTTTGAATTCGCCGATCACTATGTTTTTCCTTTTCAGTTTTGAAATCGTTTCAATAAACTTGCGATTTTCGCCAGTGAATCTATTATCAATCAAAGTGTGTTGTTTGATAAACAAGCCTCCAGAATAATCGAAGTGTGTCACCTGTGTATTTTTCTTAATGAACATGAAGTTATGGAGTTAGATCTTAAGATTCTAGAGTTCTGACTATACAAATATATAGTAAAAGGCTGAGTAAGAGCAATCCATGGCTTACTGCCTCCAGATCCCTGGTTTGGAAAAAGGCTGACTATGTTGCTTTTATGCTTTACTGAACAAAATTATTTATAGTGGATAAGAAAATGAATCTGAAATTTCTCCTAACATGATATACATCAATAAATTCTTAGGTGCTTAGAACATCAATGCTACACACCCTTTTCGTAATCCTACAAGACATTAGACTTCCAGTAGGATACTTTTCAATCATTATCAGAATTTGGGTCCAGGTTGAATCTTGATAAGGAAATATGTGGTGTAAGGCCAGAGTGTACCTACGTTCCTTGTATATTTTAATTTTAGCTTTTGGGGATTAGTACTATTGAGATTACTATTCTAATAATTAAATATATGTACATATTGAGTTCTGACTATACAAAAATATAGTGAAGCTTTTGTGAGGTTTAGTTGCTGTGAGATGTAGTTATTGCATGGAATTTAAATTGAACTGTGAGATGTAGTTAATAGGTATTAGTTACACACTCCTATAATCCTATTCACATTACTAGTCTCATATGATTTTTACTAGTCTTATATTATAATCCCAAATCAACTCTCATATGTATCTTCTTATATCTATTAATGAATTAGTTTAATTATTACACATATCTATCCATCAGAAACCATCCATGATGATAAAGAGTGAAGAATAATACCTGATTCTTATTTGCTTTCAATATTTCATTTTCATATTTAAATGAACTCCACACAGGAACACTACTGTTTCATTTTGGCCAGGCAAGTCCTATAAAGATGGACTATTTTGGTATTAAATGTGTATAGTACTTTATCACTATTTAGTTTTCTTGCATCACCTAATCCTTGAATACATATCTTCACCTTATGTCAATAACATTTTTACTTTTTACAAATTAGATGGATAAAACATGGATAGGTTTAACATCAAGAGCGAGTGCACAATACATTAATGGGGTCAACAAATTCCTAGATTTTGCCTTTGCTAGATCCGCTGAAGATGGGAAAATCCGTTGTCCTTGTGTTATATGTGTCAACACGCATAAAGTGTCGAGGGAAATAGCCCTCGATCACTTGATATGTGATGGTTTTCTTAAGGGATACACTCGATGGGTTTTTCATGGCGAGGCGTTTGAGGAAACTACTTCTACAATGCATGCCGAGATAGACGATGACTTCGAACATGAAATTCATGACTTGTTGCATGATATGATGCCTAACATTAATGTGAATGTAGACTTTGAAGGCACACACTCAACAAATTATGATGGCAATAGTTCTGGTCACAAGATTGACAGTGACAAGTTCTACAATTTACTCAAAGATGCAGATGTGGAGTTATATCCGAGTTGCAAGAAATTTTCGAAGCTATCATTCGTCATCCATTTGTTTCACATTAAGTGTTTTAATGGATGGACAAATAACTCCATGAGTATGTTGTTGAAGATTCTAAAACATGCTCTTCCACAAGGGAATACATTGCCAGAGTCCTATCATGAAATGAAAAAGATGATCAACGCCTTGAGTTTGGGATATGAGAAAATCCATGCATGTCCCAACAATTGCATTCTATACTGGAAGGATAGGGCAAAAGAAGAAAAATGTTACAAATGCGGGGCTTCTAGGTGGAAGGAATGCGTAAATGAGGGTGAAGATGCTTTTATGAAAAAGAAGAAAAGAGCTGCAAAGATATTGCGTTGGTTTCCTTTGGTTCCAAGACTTCAGAGGTTGTATATGTCTTCTAAAACTGCTCTTTCAATGAGATGGCATGAAGAAGAACGCACTAAAGATGGACGACAAAGGCATCCTGCAGATTCTCTTGCTTGGAAACACTTCGATTCTCTTTATCCACAATTTGGTTCTAATGCTCGTAATGTTCGCCTTGGGCTTGCTTCTGATGGTTTCAATCCTTTCAAATCTATCAATATCAACCACAGTACATGGCCCGTTGTACTCATTCCGTATAATCTTCCTTCATGGATGTGTATGAAGCAACCTAATTTCATACTATCTTTACTTATTCCTGGTCCAAAAAGTCCTGGGAATGATTTGGATGTGTTCATGCAACCTTTGATTGATGAACTAAAAGAGCTTTGGGAAGTTGGTGTTGAGACATATGATGTGTCAATGAAGCAGAAATTTAACATGCATGCAGCTTTGCTTTGGACTATTAATGATTTTCCAGCATATGCTAATTTATCTGGATGGAGCACAAAGGGAAAGTATGCATGTCCTTGTTGTGGATATGATACTGAATCCAAGTGGTTAAAAAATGGTGGAAAGTTTTGCTACATGGGACACTGTAGGTGGTTGGAGAGTAACCATCGGTTTAGGAAGGATAAACACTCTTTTGATGGGAATTATGAGTTTAGAACTGCCCCTTTGCCACCATCGGGGGATGAATTATTGAGACAATTAGAAGACTTGGATTCTAATGAAGGTGGACCATGGAAGAAAAAGAGCATTTTATTCACACTACCGTACTGGAAGGATCTTTTAATACGTCATAATCTGGATGTAATGCACATTGAAAAAAATGTTTGTGATAACATTTTTGGTACATTGATAGGGCAAGAGAGAAAGACAAAAGACAATTATAAGGCCCGCCTTGATCTAGTGGACATGGGCATAAGGAGTATTCTTCACCCAAAGACTCGCCCCGGAAGCAACACTAAGTACTTACCTCAAGCAGCTTATCAAATGACTATAACCGAAAAAAATGCTTTCTTGAAGATTCTTAAGGAAATGAGGACTCCGGATGAATACTCTTGTAACATATCCCGTTGTGTTCAAGTTAAGGAACGAAAGTTAATTGGTCTTAAAAGTTATGATTGTCATCTTTTAATGCAAGAGTTTCTTCCTGTAGCAATACGGTGGTGCTTACCAGAAAAGGTGTGCTCTGTCCTAATTGACCTGTGTAACTTTTTCCACTTCATTTGTTCCAAAGTTTTAGAGAAGGATACTCTTCAAGCAATGGAGTCTCGGGTTTCTTTAATCCTTTGTGAAATGGAAAAGATCTTTCCTCCATCCTTTTTCACTGTGATGGTACATCTAGTGATGCATTTAGTGCACGAAGCAAAAGTTGCTGGCCCAGTAATATATCGTTGGATGTATCCCATCGAAAGGTGATATCCGGTTCCTCATTAATCTTCTAATTTTATAATTACATATCATATAGTTGTTAATATGGTTAATTTTAATGTTGTTAATAGGTTTCTTCTTACCCTAAAGTCTTATGTGGGTAATAGAGCTCATCCAGAGGGTTCTATTGCAGAAGGATTTTTGGCAAATGAATGTTTAACTTTTTGTTCAAGATACTTGGAGGGGGTTGAAACAAGTTTCAATCAATCTCGGCGGAATGAAGAAGGTGAAATATCATTTGATGGAGATGTATCTACTTTTAGTCATGTTGGAAGACCACTCGGGAGGACAAAACATAAAGGGTTCAATGTTAGTAAGCGAAAGAGAGTATCCCGTGTTGAACTTGACAAGTTGTCTTTGACACAAGCACATAGATATGTGCTTTTTAATCACGATGCAGTTGCTCCATTTTTAATGTATGAACTTGAATCCTTGAATAAAATATAAACAATTTATTCTTTATTTCTAAGTATGGGGACATTTTATTGTAGAAAACATGTGGAGCATCTTCGGAGACGACACCGTTCCCCCCGTCTGTCGGCTTATGAGTTGCAAAAGCTACATAGTGAAACTTTTCATAATTGGTTTCATGACCATGTATGAATAATTAAGTCCCCCAAATTTAAAAAAAAGTATTTCGTTTTGTTAGAAACTTTTTAAGTATTTAACTTTTGGTAATGCTTTGTAGGTTGCAAATTTAGACAATCAAGGAAACACACTCATCACAGATGAGCTTAGATTTCTTGCACGTGGTCCCTTGGATAAAGCCAGGAGATTTACGGGCTATATTGTTAATGGATTTCGGTTCCACACTAAAGCCCGTGAAAAACTGTTAAGAACGCAAAACAGTGGGGTTGTAGTAACATCGAGAATGACAAGTTATGCAAGCTCAAAAGATGCAAAACCGATTGAAGGAGAAGTTAACTATTATGGGGCTTTAACTGACATCATTCAGTTAAACTATTCTGGAAAATTTAAGTTTGTGTTGTTTAGATGTGATTGGGTTGATCTAAACAAAGGATGCAAAAGAGACAAGTTTGGGTTCACACTTGTCAATTTTTCATACCTTACACATACTGGAACAAATTTAGTTGATGATCCTTTTGTATTTGCTACACAAGTAAACAAGGTTTACTATGTGGAGGATGATAGAGATGACGGGTGGCTTCTTGCAAAACATGCAAAGCTTCGAGACACTTTTGATATGGGCGATGTAAGGAACAACTCTCCAAATCCAAACATTGAGGGTGATGACATGATTTGGGTTAGAGATGAGTGCAATGAGGGGCTTGAAGTTACACCAGAGATGGAAAATGAGTTTGAGGAAGAAGACCCCGTGGATGAATATATTGATGATATGTTTTGACATATAAATATAGGGAAAAGGGGCAAATAAGCCCTCGAACTAATAAAAAAAGTGCAAATAAGCCCTTTTGTATGAGGTTCTGTCCGATCATCGTCATTTGGAGAGGTTCTCGGTGGAATTTTTTGATGAATTTTTTTGAGAATCTTCTTCATTAAGTCTAGTTTAGTCATACCAAATTTCAGCTAAAAATTCGACCGAGAAGGCACTAAAATGATTTTCGGAAATATACTGCGTTGTTTAAATACGCAGTTATCTTCAAAAATTAATTTGACTGTCTTCCCGATTGAATTTTTAACTGAAATTTGGTATGACTAAACTAGACTTAATGAATAAGATACTCAAAAAAATTCATCAAAAAAATCCACCGGGAACCTCCCCAAATGACGATGGTCGGACGCAACCTCCTACAAAAGGGCTTATTTGCACTTTTTTTATTAGTTTGAGGGCTTATTTGCCCCTTTTCCCTATAAATATATTATATTTGTATATAGTAATAATATTATATTATAGTTAAGTGAAGTTTGCTATAAATAAACTTTTGGTACCTCTTTTATTTTCCTAGTTCTGCATCTTTTAATAAGGTAAATTCATGTACTTAAAACCTTATTTACATATATTATGTTACAACTTCATACTGATTTATATGTTTGTTACATTCATTTGATAGGGTTGGAAATGGCACATAAGCGACTAAAAACCAATAAGACAGTGCGTGCCTCAAGTTCTCAAACACATTTGGAGTCTTCAAAGAGCTGTCAAAATAAGGAACAATCTGCTTTGCCTCAAAATAATGTCCAACATGTGAATGAAGAAGTAGATCAAGTCACGGGTATGTTTCATAACTTATTTGGGTAACATTTGAGCATCTAGTCAGTAAGTATTTTACTAAATCTATAATTAAAATGACATATGTTAGTCAAATTTGTTCTGATCATATATAGATAAGTATTTTACTAAATCTGCAACACCAATGAACTTTGATTTAGTATTTGTGCTCACCCAATGTTAAGATTGTGCTAGGTGAGAGAGTAATGGGACACAACTCTTTGTTATGGAATGTGTTTGTACAAGCTTTCTGTCAAATGTGCTGTAATTTTTCTAAAAGTCAAATGATTTTCGGATCCCAAAAAATGAAAAAAATTGTTTCCTTTTTTTGGGGTTATAAAATATAGAAACCACAACATACATGGATTTTTATTCATAATATAATATATCCTCTCAATGCACTTATTTTTTTTTAGTTCCACCAAAGCCTAAAAAGCTTCGAGGTTACACGCGTATGATTGAGATATGGGACTTGGAAAAAGAGGAACAAGTGATAGTTGAAGTGAATGCTCACCATATTCCAATAGGTGATTCAGCTGCAAAGCTAACTAGGTTCATTGGTACCATGGTTAGAATGTCCGATTTTGCCCCATTGAGTTACACGACTTGGCCTCAACTTCCAGCTAGAAAGAAGAATGAAATGTGGGAGATGATTAAGGTACTTACATTAATAATGGTTTTTCTTTGGAAGCATAATTATATACTGATTGTAATTCCTGTGCTTTTCAACTCTAGGAGAAGTTTCAGTTCAAAACATTGGATGGAAAAGAGGTTATAGATGGAGAGGCTTTTAAATGTATAAATGTGTGGGCACTTGAGAACATGAGTACTAAGTGGAGGTCATGGAAAAATGAATTGAAAAGCGAGTACTTCGATGAAACGATGACACCACATGAAATGTCTTCAAAGGTTGATGACAGTCGAGTGGATAAAGATCAGTTCATTAGCATTGCAAAATATTGGCTTACTGATGAAGCAAAGGTAAATCATTTTCTGCAGTAAAAGCTTTCATCTTTTTCCATGCATTTAAATTCAGGTTGGTGATATTACCATATGCATGACACTACCATTTGCATTTGTTGGTGATACTGTCTGTACCTTCTGCTCACCTTTTATTTAGAATCATACAAAATTCAGCAATTTCAGATGTTGATAAATATCAAATCTTAATAACTGCATGCCAAGAATTCTAACAGCTATATAGTGAAATTATGCATTCAGGTGTCATAATTTAGCCATTGAATCTCTTTTGTAGATGATGTTACTTTTGTCAAATATATGTGGCTGTTATTAAAATTTTGCTTATGATGTAGATAAATGCTAGAGTCCATAACAATGTGATGCTAGTATTGACCTGAAGCTTGAATGTGCACTTAGCCCTATCTTTGTCATCTTTTTACCGGAGCTGATTATAATTTGGTTAAGTGTCAAGTATACTCTTTATAATGTCCATTGGTGTAGTCTACCGTGACAGTAGTTAAAGTTCAAACGGACCAGTTACTAGCTAGAATGTTTTTACATTGTCCCATTGTATATGTTAATTAATTCATGCTCTTTCTTGTTGTTATTTATTCAGAATTTCTAACATCGGAAAATTTTGTTATCATTTAATATATTGAATATTCAATTGAAGTTCAATTTCCTCTTTCATCTTCTTCTTTTACAGTTAGTGTTTTTTTATCACGTACCGATAAATAACTGAAATTTTATTGCCACAGTGAATTGGGTATGTGTTTGACATATATCATCTTGTCTTAACTACATTGATATTTTAGGAACAAAGCACCAAAAATAAGGAAAATTGTTCTAAATCAAAAGAGCCTCATTGCACAGGAACAAAGTCTTTTCCGAGAGTTATTCATGAGATGGTACATTTATCAAACTTTCATAATTGATCTATTTCTTATGCATTAATTAAATTTTAGATTGATATTAAATGAATTGTTTTGTAGACAGAAGAAAGCAATGGTATTCATCCATCACGTGCTAAGGTTTATGTTCGTACTCGAACACGAAAAAATGGGAGCATTGTGAATGATGAAGCTGCTGAAGTTGTGGTATAAAAACTAAGAGTTTCTTCTTTTCAAATCATCTATTTATCTTTTTTTTTTAAATGCTCAAACTGTCTATTAACTTCTTTTAGGAACAAATGAAACAAAAAATGAGTGAAACAACTCTAGAAAGTGAGGGTACGTCATGGGAGAGCGATGTTTATGCACAAGTTAAGGGACCCGAGAAAAGAGGCTATGTTCGTTGCACGGGAACAAAAATAAAAAGATCCAATAGTTGCGGTTCTTCATGTACACAACGACAACAAAAAAATGATGAGGTAGAAATGATGAAGGCTGAGATTTGTGGACTGAAAACAACACTAAATCACATGTTGTCTGTAATGAAAAGAAGATTTCCTGAAGATGAATTGAGTAACATAATTATTGGACAGGTATTGATATACATGTTCATGTCTGGATCCTATTTAAGATCAATTTTTCATGTGTTGTAAATGTAATAGTATCTGACAATCTCATTTATGGATTTTTTACATTTTGCATTATGTTCTTCTCATTCTTATAGTATATGAGAGTGACTATGATGTTAGCATATGTAACAACTTTATTTTTCTTAATATAATTTTTTGTAGGTACCTGATGTCAATAGTACCCCACATGTCTCACCGGATGAAAATAACCAGTCTTCCGAGTCAAGCCATCAAATGGGTGAAAGTGAAATATAATCTGGTAATGTATTGTTTTAAGAATTTCATCAATTTCGTAATTTTATGTTGCATTTTAAACTTCATCTTAGAAGTTTAGAGCCTGAATTTGAGTAAGACAACAATCTAATAAATGTATAGATATTCATTTGCTCCTTCAAGATGTTGAAGAACATTACGGGTAGTGACTTTATGTTGTACTTCCATAAAAAAATTTGATGTTTAGGTTTTGTTTTGGGTTCCAAATATGCCTTTGACTAAAAGTGGAGGGGTGGGTTGTACTCACTATGTTGTAGGCACAGTTTAGGGTAAACTGATCATGAGAGTCTGGTTACTAAAGTAAGTGACCATCCTGGTAGTCTATGAGCTGTTTGGCTTTGATGTTTGTTCTGCATAGTTACTTCCAAATTGGTGAGTGTTTGGCTATGTAATGCATGTTATCCGTGATTGAATATCTGGCTTGCATGAAGGTAGCCCATATGGATTTATTTTGTTTGAGTCCACCAATTTTTGATGTGTAAGACTGTTTGAATAAAATTTTAACATGTTATTAACTTAAAATTTTCTAGTTGTATAGCTGATTGAAGTGATGTGCACTTTGTAGGTTCTCAAGATTTGATATGCGGATGGAGGCAATCAACATGGATACGTGAATTAAAAGGATTGACTTGTGTTACAGAAGGATTTGAATTCCATTTATGTTTTGTCCCAAAATTCAGAATTATAACTTGATTTGGATTTTTATTATGAATGTTATTCACTTTATAAAGACGTTTATTAGTAAAGTTGAATGATTTTGGAATGATATTTGTATTAGTTATTGTTATTTGTAATTCTATTGATATTTGTATTTGTTATTGTTATTTGTAATTCTATTTTGGATTGTGAGTGATCATGTACGTGAACTAATAAATATTTGTTTCTGCATAAAACAGAGCTATACCAACGGTATATCAATTGTTACTATAGCAAAAACATAAGTAAAATTGTTCTACGTCTATACCAACGGTAATATAATTACTAACAGTAAGTGTTCCGTTGGTATAAGTTAATAAGCTATTCCAACGGGTAAGAAATGTGTTGGTGTTGGTCTATACCTACGGAATGTATACCAACACTCCATTTTTTGTTGGAATTGCATACATTTCCGTTGGTATAGCTAAACGAGGTCTATACCAACGGTTTATATTTCTATACCAACAGTTTTCTTACTGTTGGTATATGACATTTTGTTTGTAGTGTTTATATATACCGTATAACAGCTTTTTACCCGCTCACCTTAAAAGTTGTTCACGGTACACCACTACTTGCTTCTATCAATTAATAGTGACCCTAATATTAATTGTAGAATTCTCATAGACATAAATATGACTGTTTTTATTTTGGACAAAAAAGTGATTAGATGATATTTAATAGAGATATTACCTGAAATAGGACTTAAAAGGTTTGAAAATTCCAAAATAAGACTTTCATATTTTTATTCCCAAAATAGGACTAACTACTGCCATGTTTTGGCAGTATCAGACTTCAAACATGGCAGTATTTACCAAACTTGACAGTAATTACTCCTATTTTGGGAATTAAAATATGACAGTCCTATTTTGAAATTTTCAAACTGTTTTAGTCCTATTTCGAGAACTTTCCCTATTTAATACTCTAACCTAAATAAAAATTCAAATAACAATCTGTCACGCAGTCAAGCAACCCAAATTAAAACTCACGCTACCCATACAGAATATCTCAATTAGTCACGAAGGAGCACCCGATCTGGGAGCTCTAGATATACCGCCATACCGGTGCCACGCATATCCCGCCGTCGCCGCCTATTGTCATCACCTGTCGCTTGTAACACCGTCCCCAAATGTATTTACTTTTACGTAAATGATGTAATAAATCTTATGGAATGATTTATGAATTTACGAAGTTGTAAACTTTTATTTATTCTTTCGCGTGAATAGTGAATTGCACGTGGGGCCCACACCGGGAGCGGGGGCCGCCCGATTTTCCCGAGACCATATATTTTATTCATCTTGGTCTAGATAACAAATATATAATGGTGGATATTTCATTTGGGCCATGGAAAGGCCCAGAGTTGACCGATTAGTCAAAAGAAGCCCAAATTACCGGTACTGGTAATTTAACGGATAACAATCCGAAAATGAATTTCGAAGACTTCCAAATTAAAGTTTTGGAATATATATTATTTCAAAGGGGCGTTATGATTGAGAACACATAATATATTTTATTTTTCCCGATAAAATAAAATATGATTAAAACAGTCCGAAAAATACAACTTTCGGGACCGATTGTACACACCGGGACACAAAGGGATGACCTCCCACATGAGTGGGGGCCACCCCACGTTTTTATATGCTCAAATTGACTAGATGAGAGCTGGTAGTACACTTGATGGGAGGGTGAGACAATTGGAGACATCAAAGGGGTCCCTCCCACCCTTATTAGCTCAATGGGACAAAAAGAACTCATCCCCCTCTTCCTTCATCATTGTACTCGACCAAAGCACCAAGGAGAGGCAAGAGAGAGATCTCAAACCAGCTTCCATTGTTGCAGCACGAGCTCAAGGAAAAAGGGGTCCAAAGGAGAGGATTAAAGAGGGAAAAAGTGGGGAAAAGTGTGAATAATTAAGGTAATGACCTTATTATAACTTCTCTTTATTTTTTTCTTTCTACCATATGAGGTATATATCATGTGAAGGACCCTTAGTATGGTTCCACATGTTATAAGTATGGATTTATGGGTAGGAAGATGGTTCTATGTCCAAGAACGGACTTAGAGACCAAAACTACCGGTTCACCGAAAAATAACCTTTTAGGGGTTATTTGTATTGATATGAGTTTTATGATTATAAAACCTTGTTAGGCACTTGTAAAGGGTATTTCAAGTGATTTCACAAAGTTGGAAAAGTCGCCGGAGTTGTCGCCGGAGTTGACCAAAAGTCGCCGGAGTTTCACCGGAGTTCAACCAAGAAGGGTAGAACTTCATAACGCTAGTTCAAGGTGAGTGGACGGCTTAATATCTTATAACTTTTGGGTTAATTATAAGATTACCTAAATAAATGTTATATGAGTTCATAATGATGTTTAAAAGATATTTAAACATGTGATTAGCCAATAGGGTTAAGTTTGTATGAAAGAAATTAATTGTTGATGCATGTAATATGATATGAAGAATTATATGAAATGTGTATTGGTTGGAAGTGTATTAGAAGAACAAATGAATATTATTAACTTAATTATATGATGATTAAGTTGATACACACAAGGCATGAAATGGCGGTCAACGAAAACGTTGACCGATGGACAAAGGATTTAATTAATACCGGTTGGTATTAATTAATTATAAATCTATATAAATGCATGGTTTTGCATGGATTGTGATACATAAGCTTTATGTATTGAATTAGTTATGAGTAACTAAGTATGATATAGACTCTATCTAGGTTGATAGAAGGTTAATCATAGGAAAATGTTTTGGTGGAGGACCCTAGGACTTAAAGTCCTTAACACTCAAACTTGGTGAAGGACCCTAGTACTTAAAAGTACTTAACACTCAAACTTGGTGGAGGACCCTAGTACTTAAAAGTACTTAACACTCAAATTAAAACTTGGTGGAGGACCCTAGGACTTAAAATCCTTAACACTCAAACTTGGTGGAGGACCCTAGTACTTAAAAGTACTTAACACTCAAAACTTGGTGGAGGACCCTAGTACTTAAAAGTACTTAACACTCAAACTTGGTGGAGGACCCTAGTACTTAAAAGTACTTAACACTCAAAACTTGGTGGAGGACCCTAGGACTTATGAGTCCTTAACACTCACAATAAACCGGTGGAGTATCCAAGGATTATGATCCTAAAACTCATAGATTATGATATACAAATAGGGACAAGGAGGAGTCCTATACACTCATAGGTATATGGGTGGGTTGGGGTTTTTAGTCAAGAATATTGACTATTACTATTTTTCCCAAATAAAATGGTGATCTACGGATCGGATATTTTCCAAGTATATATATACTAATAAGTATTTCATAACTTGGGGGAAAGACTATTTATTTAAGTATCACCCTATGTTTGGGTCTTATACTTGAAACGCTAGTTATTCTATATTTAGCCTGCTACTCGCTCGGTACTTGTACTGACCCCTTCGAGGGGGCCCCACCATTTTCAGGTTGAAGCTAGGGCTTGTTACTTGCACCTTCTCACGGGTGGTATCATATCGGGAAGACGTGGTTCGTGCTTCCTTATTTTCTTTCAAACTACCGAACACTTGCTCATGGATATTTGTTTTACTATAAACATTTTTGGGGCTTGCATGCCCATGT